CTCCAACAGCTGGTCTCATCAGGTCCTCCAGAACCTCCAACAGCTGGCTTCATCAGGTCCTCCAGAACCTCCAACAGCTGGTCCATCAACTACTGGCATGTCTGTTAACAGAGGTTTCATGTTAAATAAAGTAATTTTGGATAAAGATGTAAAACTGATCAGTTTTTAAATCAAATTCAAGATGGCCGCTGCAGTTGTCATGGAGACCGGCTGTTATCGACATTTTTAGAGACGCTGAGTTTAAATTGTAGACGACGGATTACAAACACGCTCTGATCGCTGACAAACCTCTCGGTTCTTTGTTTCAAACTTTGCCATGAGCCATCAACTGTCTGTTAGCAAAATATTTTTGAACGCTTGTATTTTTAAGTTTCTGGACGCACATCAACTTATTAACTTGTGCAGTCAAGATGGCTGCCACAGCTAACAGTGAAAACAGTCTGATGCTTATTGAGCTAAACGGGTGTAGCAGTCGGTGTGTGGCTTCTGAAACATCCTTCATCTTTTGTATGAGCTTTATCATCTCAGCGGACGTTCATGAACAAACTGTCCTCCATACTTGTTCTTAGAGGTCCTCAGACGGGCCCAGATACCAATCATGGACCCACTGAGTCTTCTAGACCAGGCCTGGATTGGGCCCATTAGGTGGAGCTAAAGAACCAAACGGTGCCGCCTGCGTTGTCTTCTGAGCCATCCTGGAGGTCCGCACCCTTACAGACACGCTCTCTGCAGGTAGTCCTGGCTTCAGAAGCTTCACGGGTTTGAAGGTCTTCATGGAACCTTCCATGTTCGTTTTGATATCAGATCTTTTGGTCACTCCTCCAAAGATGGAAGAAACTTTGTCATAAACTGGTGGCAAATTATTCCATGATCCATCCATCATCTTCTGCTTGTTCTGGAGTCAGGTCTCAGGGGCAGCATCTTGAGCAGGGAGGTCCAGACATCTCCCTCTCCACAGCCACCTCTTCCAGCTCTACTGGGAGGACCTCAAGATGTTTCCAGGTCAACTGAGAGACGTCACTCCAGCGTGTCCTGGGTCTTCCTCAGGGTCTCCTCCCAGTCTGACATGCCTGAAGCACCTCAGCTGGCTCCTCTCATGTGGAGGAGCGGTTCTGCTCGGTCTCTCCTGATAACTGAACTTCCCACCCTGTCCAGCTCCCCTGCAGAGGAAACTCATTTCAACCTCCTGGATCCACGATCTCATTCTTTCAGTCACTACCCAGAGTTCATGACCCCAGGTGAGGGGAGGAACGTCAACAGAGCTTTGTCTTACAGCTCAGCTCCCTTTTCACCACAACGGACCGGCACAGAGTCCACAATACTGCAGACGCTGCACCAATCTTTCAGTCAGTCTCGCGCTTCATTCTTCTCTCACTTGTGAAAAAACCCTCGAGATACTTGAACTCCTCCACTTGAGGCAGAACCTCACCCTGGACCTGAAGAGAACAATCCACTGTTTTCCGACTGAGGACCATGACCTCAGATTTGGAGTTGCTGGTTCTCCTCCCAGCTGCTTCACACTCAGCTGCGAACTGCTCCAGTGAGAGCTGAAGATCACGGCACGATGACGCCAACAGGACCACATCATCTGCAAAGAGCAGAGATGAATCCTGAGGCCACCGAACTGGAAACCCTCCGCCCCCTGGCTGCACCGAGAAGTTCTGTCGAGCAGAATCGGTGACAGCTGGAGTCCAACTCCCATCCTGAAGGGTTCCGACTTACCACCAGCGATGTGAACCAGTTCCATGAACCACTCAATAGATTTGAATGAAACTCTCAGAAAGTGGATAAGTGGTTAACGTTTGGACTCATCCTGGTTCAAGATGGCCTCCACAGCTAAGCAGCAGCAGTCCTCAGAGTTTTTCCAGGAGCCTTTCTCATTTAGACGTGCATGCATCGACGTGCACGTAGTTTGTACTTCTGACACGTCTGTTAAAAAAAGTTTATTTTCAGTTTTGCTTTGTAGCAGCAGTGTTGTGCAGCCTGTCTTAATGCTCCAGTCAGCAGCTGTGAAATCGGATCAAATGGAGACGAAACGTCTGTTCTGTCGATCTTCTGGGTTTCTATTTAACAAAATAAAAGCTGACGTGCGCGGAGAGGCTGATGGAGGACGAGCTGTGATCTTTCATCTGATAACGAGGCTCATATTCTTCATTTAACCTGCTCGTGTTCCTGATCCTGACATTTTGTCAGCTTTTAAAGTTTTCATCACACGTTCGAGAACTGGATCTGAGGATGAGGAGATAAAATCCCAGACATCATACGTAACACCACTGAACACGAACACAGTCCAGTCACTCAACACGCCACACCAGCTGGGGGAGACGCCGGTATGCAGCAATGCGTCCCATCCACATGAGGTACAGATCAGTGTCCCGAGCAGCAGAAGTTGAAGGGAAGGAGCAGAAAACAGGTGTTGAGGAGGTCGAGACGAAAACAACGTTCACAGCAAACTCATCGAAACGTGCAACTACCAAAGTAAAAGTAGAAACCACACACCGGTAAGAGCCCCCCCCCCCAATAAAATAAATAAATAAAATACAAAGGTGAGTAAACATGAAAAAGCCCAGTTGTCCGTGACAGATGTGTTCACTTGTTTTATGAGCATGGTCTCTGATCCTGGTGGTGTTCATGGACAGGGTCTCATGGTGAACTCGTGGAGAAGACGGTGTCTGGACTGGGAACCTCGAGGTCTCGTCTCTGCTTTTTGCAGATGATGTTGGCTCCTTCAGACCACGAACCAGGACTGTTGGCAGTCCAGGTTCAAGACTCAGCTCCTCGGCATCCGAGGTCATGATCCTCAACCAAGAAAAGGTGGAATGATGCCTCCACCGGCTCAACTGGAGTCTTTGCTGCCCTCAAGAGGAGGAGCTCAAGTTCCTGGGAGTCTTGTTTACCAGTATGGGTGGAGATGGACGGACACACATGACCTGTGGTCATGAGGTTTGGATGAGAACTGAAAGAAGCAGATCCTGGATCTCAGCAGCTGAAATGAACATCCTTCATAAAGTGGCCAAGCTCAGCCTCAGAGGCGAGGCTGGAAATGCCCAATGAGGTCTGAGTCCACCTTCTATCCATCCATCCATCCATCCATCCATCATCTTTACTTGCTCCTTCCTTTTCGGGTCTCAGGGGTCACTGGTGCCCATATCCAGCATTCATTGTGCTAGAGGTGGGGACACCTGGACATGCCTCCAGTCCATCACGGGGACACCTGGACATGTCTCCAGTCCATCACAGGGACAATTTTAGAGTCACCAGTCTAACATGCATGTTTTTGGTCTGTGGTAGGAAACTAAAACTCACGCATGCACGGAGAGAACATGCAAACTCCACACAGAAAGGCCTCTGGCTGGGATTCGATCCGGCGACCTTCTCGCTTGGAGGCGGCAGCTCTACCAACTGAGCCACCGTGCCACCCCTTTCTAAAAATGATTCGGTTTTAGTTCCGATTGTTTTGCTTTTCAGATTAAAATCGCACGTGGAGCGAACATGTCTGGTTGAAGCGAGAAGCTGAAGGTCTGCTGCTCCACTGCAGCGCCAGAAGTTGCTCCAGATTCAAACCGACAGTTAGTGGATGGAGGCGGGGGCAGAACGAGTCAAGAAATGGCTCCTGTGTTATTTGATTTCTGCTCTCACGCTCTTCCTTTTTCATATCTATAAATAAACAGACGCTCGGCAGCTGAGAGGGAGTCGGCGCAGAACAAATGCAGCCCCTGGCTGTTTCACTTCACCCCCCTCATAACGAGCCAGATGGACCGCCGCCGCTGCCACACCGAGACACGGGTCACGCGTTACCATGGAGAAGATGCTGCGGGGCGGGGGGGGGGGGGGGGGGGGGGGGGGGGGGTCGCGTGAGGGCTGGGGCCTTTCTCTCTGAGCCCCGGGAGGAGGATGAGTGTGAAGTGTGAGATGGAGTCAGGGCGGAGGAGCCTCTCTTCCTCTGCAGCTTGATTCTGGACCAGTGAGCCCACATGTTCTGATCCAGCTGCAGGAGGGGCTCCTTCCAGAGCACTTGAGCAAACACTGCCTTATAATAAACTAACACTTTTGTCTTTCTCTTTGTTTGTTTGATTCGAACGGCTCCAGACTTTTTGCTCCTTCAGCCAATCACAGTGGAATCAGTGACTTCATCCAGGAGCTGGTGTCGTGGCTCTGCTGGACTTCTGGTTTGAAACCTGCTCCAGGACACTCTCTGTCCTTGTGTCTGGGGACAGTAAATGTCTCTGGAGTCTGATTTGATCTAAAAATATTTGTATTTTGTTTCTTATCATTAAACACAGTTCGTTCCTGCCGTCCCGTCCAAAAAACCAGAGTCCTCCTCCCAGACCGAACTCGTCTCCACTGAAGCTCCTCTGTTTGTTTTAGGAGTCCAACGTGCTGAGAACAATAAGCTGAACGTCCATGGTTCCATCATGGTTCCATTATGGTTCCATCATTGTACCATCATGGTTCCATCATTGTACCATCATGGTTCCATCATGGTTCCATCATGGTTCCATTATTGTACCATCATGGTTCCGTCATTGTTTCATCATTGCTCCATCACTGTTTCATCATGGTACCATCATTGTTCCTTCATGGTTCCATCATGGT